ACAAATACAACATTGTATCACCAGTAGTACATCGTACAAATACAATATTGTATCACCAGTAATACAAAGTACTTATAACACTGTATCACCAGTAATACAAAGTACTTATAACACTGTATCACCAGTAATACAAAGTATGAATACAATATTGTGTAAAACAGTACTGCATGATTTGAGGTTGAAATGACAATGTATACTTCTCAAAATTTTTGGTATTCCTGGAAATCTGATAGTGGCCTTGAAAAAATGTAACTCCAGTTACTCCTGGTCAGTAAGAAAATTCCAATTTTGTATACAGAATATGTTTTATATTCAATGAAATAGGAAAGGGGAAGATTTTTCTGGATATGTTGGACATGCCATTTTGTAGGACTTTTTTCATAACCGAGTAAAATCTGTGCTTATAAGTGGGTGGTCTTAATACGCATAGAGTACTTCCGTAATTTAGTGTGATAAGTCACACAAGATAATGGAAGTCAGGATATCATACACAATGTTAGTATAATGTCATGAACGTCACATACCTTAATTTATGTATGGAATAATTATAATCTATTTAAGTTCTAGTGTTCTACATACCAATGAATCTAAACCAGTACAGCTCAAATCCATGACATTTATGAAGACCAACTGATTTGAAAAGAAAAGAGAAAGCATTTGTTTTTTATCTAATATTGCCACTGCCCATAAAAAAATCACACAAGACTACTGGACACCTGAATTTTTAAAAATAAATATTATTGCAAAGCATCTGCGAACAGTTTTGTCCGAAGAAATCAATACAAGGCATGAAGTTTATAACTGATCCTGTGTACAACTTTCATGATAATATTGGTTTCTGTGGCAGGAATCTACACATCGAAAGGGACATCGGATTAGTTGAAAATCTTTGATGTGTTAATTAATGTTTGTCTACATAAATGCAAGACTGACATTGTGAAATCAAAGCTTTGTTCGGCATGTTGTGACAAAGAATTATTCTATTTTTACAGCTGCAACCAGATGCATGCTGAGGGCACCGATCATTCAAAACGGGCACCCACTGAAGTTATACAACCTGCCATATCTGTCATGGTTACTGATTGGTTGTTTTGTTTGATGAAAAAAAAATGTTTTTGAATATGTGCACAACTCATTTTCTAGCCAATGGTAAATGAAAGTTTGTTTATTCTGACAATCAATGAAAGACTAGCTAGAGTCCAGGAAAGCCAAACACAAGATACCCTAAACCATATCCTTTTACTCTGCACAGAGGAACACTATCTTACATAAAGTAACAAAGAGTCTGATGTACCTGTAGAGAGTGAAATTCAGATATGGTTTTAATCAAACTGAAGACACCGAGTCTGAGTTTGGATACAAAATTCCGAATTATGTGTGCATATTAAAACTTAAATCATGGCTGGTTTTGAAAAAAAAAAAAAAATTGTGAATTAACAACAGGTAGGCCTGTAGTGAGAATATTTTGTGTTTTTGAGAAAGAACAGGGATTCCTGCGAGGGAGTTGGTGGTCACCTAGATAACTTGATCAAGAAGTTGCTGAATTTTTAGTTTTTATTAGGATATTGTGTGTTTTGTTATTTTTAAGTGCTACTGAAACTAAGTACACAAATCCACATATAAGCCACACTGGTATATAAGCTGTACGCCTGACCACTCAACTGCCAAGGAAAAAAGCTGCGGCTTATAAGCGGAAAATACTGTAGTTTAAAACGGTAAACTCTTTTAATTTCTGTCTACATAGTTCTAAGTGTGGATGGATAAGGAACATAAGGCAATATCAAAGGCATTGAGCATAACAGCATAATTGTTGTCCTCTTATGTCCTAACATAAAACTCATCCCAGTGAAACCTGACATAGTACACCTGTATACAACACATCCACAATAGAAAATACTTCTTACATATACAGTACGATAAGTAATGAAATAAGGGTGGTCAGATTTAATGGTGATCTTTAGAGGATATTTGAGAACTTGGAATAACTGTATATGTAAACTCTGTGGCGCCAGTACCCAACACTGCTGCGATAAAAAACTGATTCACTATTCGACAGGTTTCACATCAACTTGTAAAATTGTTAGGAAAAAAGAGGAAAACAAAAATGAAACAGTTAAAAAAATTCACACACATTTGTTATAAATGATAAACAATGGCATAAAAAGTGAACCTAAAGCACAGCCAAAACAGTGCGGCTAAATTTGAACTCCCATGTCAATGGATTCTAGATACACTGCTAACGTCACAGGGGTTTGTAGATTGATAAGTTCACCATATATACTTGTATACAAGCCCCTCAAAATATTCCAACAGGGGTTAACAATATGGCAAAAATGTTACGAGATTTTCCACACATACTTTGCATAACTCCTGCTTCATGAAGTGTGAAATTAATCTTTGGTTTTGGGCCACATTTGTTTAAAACTTTTCACAAACAAGCATCTTTACAAGACCTGTATATAAGGCGGTATTATTACTTGTTTTCACCTTACAGGCCCCTTGATGAAATGGCCACATACACAATCTTTGTATACAAAAGACCTGCATAGATTGTACAATTATCCTGATTTAAAGTTGCAAGCTCCTGTGTATTTTTTTTGTCAAATACACATCTTTCCCTTACAAAAGATCTGTATGATAATAAATTGCCTTTTCTTCCCCGGTTTTAAGTTACAAGCCCCTGTGCTTTGTGGTCACACACACAACCTTCCTTTACACAATATTTGTATAATAGTAAAATGTCTTTTTATCCTGGTATTAAGTTACAAGCCCCTGTGTATCACGGTCATCTACACAACATCTAGTGCTATGTATTAAAGGTTATATAAGCACCATATTATACTATGTACAGACTATGATAAACATCATTTCACAATTAACTTTACTAGTTACACATATCTAATACTGTACAACAGCTACGTAAAACTGGCTATTTACAGTAACGATAATATAATTGACATACTAAAGTAAAATGTTATTCACAAATATTGCAGTTATAATAATGAGTATGATGAAAATGATGTACCTCTCACAACGCATGCACATGCTTGATTTCCTTGATAAAGAAAATCATTCCAGCAGTCAACATAGGCCACACTTGAGCAGATACACAGAGGGGCTGGTAGGATAAAATCTAGTCTTTGGCTTACTTACTACATAAAATCATAGATTGGAGGACTTGTAAATACGAGAATACACAACAAGCCATGGTCAACAATTTGAACAAATTACAGGATTTTGCACAAGTCAAATTATATATAAATTTGTAGTTTTAAATAATCACAAACATCAAATAACTTATTACTAGGAAATCAAACAAGCATGAAGGAACATTCTGACTGAAATCCAATAAATGTTTTTGGATTTAAATCTTTGAAAAGATGGATAAACGGACAAACAAGTTGAAAGGTGGATATACGAATATATGTAAAAAGCATGCAGGTCTACGAAAAAAAATCTCTTCAGAAGGACAGAGGTAAAACTGGACAGACACAGGACAGATGGATCATGGACAGAGCAGGACAGACAGAAACCTGTAAAGACGGTAGGACAAACAAAAATAAAGACTCAGAATCATGCATGACAGTAGAGTGGACAAAAACATGTACAGACAGAGGACAGATGAAAATATGAATAGTAAGTAGGACAGACTGTTTGGTCAGCAGGATAAACAGAAACTTGAACTGACACATCAGAAGATGGGAACTTTCACAGAACATGATTGAACAGCAGGGAGACAGAAATATGTACAAATAGTTTGGACATTTGGACAGAAGGAGGCAGAAATATGTACAAACAGTATGGACAGCTGGACAGACTAGCAACTGGATTTAGTGCATCTCTTGTCCTAAGTACTGTAGAATATTTTGTAATACAACAAAACCTTATCTATGAGTAAATTGATTATGATGAGAGGTATGACAATATATTTACATAATGTTTTACTAACATAAATGAATTATGGTCTAATGGATATTTCAATCATGGGGAAATGTGTGTGAATTGAAGTACGTAGTTGATAGATGTATGAAATTTTGATTTTTTTCATTTAAAAAGAATTTCAATATTTACCATGAAATGTGAAGTTGGGACTATGAATACTAGACAAATGATTTACTCTGTAATAGAAGAAATATCTTACCAAGATATCAACATTCTGCCAAAGTTCTCAAATTGTCTAAAAATAAACTCAACTATTAATAGTATTATAGGGGCATTTAAAGAATGTTTGGGGTCACTAAAACTTTATTTAAAATCTGAATACATATATATGGTTTTCTCATACCAGTAAATTTGACAGTTGAATGTTAATCTTGTAAGTAGTCATTTAGAATTAGAAGTTCGAACACACATATTGACCTGAAAGTCACAAAACCACAATAAATAAATGGTGTGTATTGATATATACAATGACTAGGTTAGGTATGTATTAAGTAAAATTTCAAGCATAAAATGGATCTGGTTTCTCTTGGGTCTCTGTAAGTTATCTCCCTTTATCATTTTTGCCTAAAAGTGAAATTGTATTAAAACAGGGTTGGACACTAATAAATGTTTTCTGATTTGAAGCAGAACAGACTGCTATTGATCCAATTAAAAACAGCAACTTTCCATTATATCACAAGATCTCCTAAATCTAATTAGGACAACAGAACCAAACCAGAACAGTTCAGGGCCAAGATATAATATTCCAGGAAGACTTTCCTGGTATGAATATCAATATTTGTCACTAAATTTAGATTATCTCAAATTTGTTTTTCAGATGCAAAGAATAAAATAATATGCAGATGAAGACAGACAGCTATTTTTTTTGCAATCTGGAATAAAAGAGCTCTAAGCTGAAGCTGAATGGTACAATCACCACACTGAATATACAGCCTCTTTCTAGTAGACATTACACAACCTTTGTTTACCCTCAAGTCCAGAGTTTGGATTGTATCAACCTCCAGGAAATTGGAAACTATTGATACAGAAGCCAAAATGTTTAAAACAAATTCCTTCTGACAGCTGTCTAATGCCTAAACTGGTACACATTCCATTTTTCGATGGAGGGACGTGCGAGCTAGAATCTCCTATTCCAGATATTTCCAGGAGGACTACACACTGTTGAGATTTCTTGGACCATATGTGTAGGATCAATACCATAGACAGAGAGCCCTAGCTGGCCCTGAGATTCTGTTGTGGACAGTTCGATGTAAACACAATGAGTATCCGAGTTGGAGAGCAGAGCGCAAGGAGCTGACAGCAACATACACCATGCCTTGGACATGTCACTGGAACAGAGTCACTAACTGTTTGGCTGCACGGGCGATGTCAAATGCACACTGCATCACCTGCTGTGTTTTGAGTGGGATCTCCAGTTCTGGATCCATATCCCCGGGGTGTCCATTCAGACATTCTTCTCGTAAACGTCGTGCACTTGTGGTCAACATGTGAAGTGCACATTTTACACTCTCTGACTGGGGTCTCTGAATATCAAGTCATAATGTTGTGAAAAAGATAAAGCATTTACAACAGAGACATAAACCAGGTGAGAAAATTAATCTCAATTTTCATTACCGGGTTTTCATTATTTCATTTATCTTTAATATATTCATTCATTGTTTGGAGTGAAATTTTTTCGAACATGGTTATATAAGTCTGACTTACGATATTTTAGCTTTTAAGATTTTTTTACAGTTTAATGTATGTAAAATCTCAATGAGAGACTTAAGAATATTTTTGATGCAATGGAAAGACACCTTCAGAAGGAACACTTACCTGTGGAAACAAGGACGCCATATCTAACACAGCTGAATGGATCCTGTCAGCACAAGGCCCAAAGCTATAAACAAGAAAATATATCACAGGTGCTTTTATAACTGTCAGAAATTAGACACAGAGTATTGAAGTAAGAGAATTTTCTTCAGGAGGAATTTTTGAGAAGTATGATCAATTTTCAATGAAAGAGGAAGAAATATTGGAAGTGATTTAATTATGCACCCTGGTTAAAAAAGTGATGTAGATGGTGTAAACCCTTCCTACAACAGCCATTGAGGACCCATGATTCAATGTCTGTAGTCCTGTAGCTTTATATAACAGCCCTAATGGAACCTAACCTGTCATGTTTGCCCTCCTGCCCCGATAGTAATGGAATCTAACCTGTCATGTTTGCCCTCCTGCCCCGATAGTAATGGAATCTAACCTGTCATGTTTGCCCTCCTGCCCCGATAGTAATGGAATCTAACCTGTCATGTTTGCCCTCCTGCCCCGATAGTAATGGAATCTAACCTGTCATGTTTGCCCTCCTGCCCCGATAGTAATGGAATCTAACCTGTCATGTTTGCCCTCCTGCCCCGACAGTAATGGAATCTAACCTGTCATGTTTGCCCTCCTGCCCCGACAGTAATGGAATCTAACCTGTCATGTTTGCCCTCCTGCCCCGACAGTAATGGAATCTAACCTGTCATGTTTGCCCTCCTGCCCCGATAGTAATGGAATCTAACCTGTCATGTTTGCCCTCCTGCCCTGATAGTAATGGAATCTAACCTGTCATGTTTGCCCTCCTGCCCTGATATTAATGGAATCTAACCTGTCATGTTTGCCCTCCTGCCCTGATATTAATGGAATCTAACCTGTCATGTTTGCCCTCCTGCCCTGATAGTAATGGAATCTAACCTGTCATGTTTGCCCTCCTGCCCTGATAGATAGAGCTCTTGGATATTTTTGGTGATTTTCTCGGTTTTCTTCATAACCTCCTCTTGTGTTGGGAGTCCATCTTCCTCCACACATCCTTCCCTGCCGCTCGCTCCCTGTTCACACTCCTGATTAGCATTGGCATCCAGTGTTGGCTCTTGGCTGTAATATCATCACACTTGCATGCAATAATGTCTGACAATAGAGATCTCGTTAGTATATGTGTAAAAAAAAAAAAAAAAAATCTAATCAGGTGTAGAACTTGATGATTGGAAGATATGGTGTAAAAAAATATCATCTGAATCAAAGGCTTCATAAGATATCTTTTTCACAAGTTGGGATGGAAACACAAACAGAGTGATTATACTATTTATGTACAATGCAACTTCCCTCTACCGATCACCTCTTGAAAACCAAATGAAATGGCCATGTACAGAATGATATCCTCTTTATTGTAGTACTAAAAACCTTCCCTAAACCAACCCCTCTTAATTTTGAACACCGAACTGTCCTAGAAGTGAACACTGCATCAGAGATAAAGAAAGCTGAGACAAGAAATATAAAATTACATGATTATTACTTTTCAATACACCTCATGGATGTAATATAGCATTTAAACCAAAGAAAAAAGAAAGATAAAGGCCCTACAAGGAAGGGGAGACAATTATAAAGGGTTTTTTATACCTGTGATTTATTGCACTTGGTTCCAAAGGTAGAGAACTTGGACAGTCATAGTGAGACAGATCAGGCCCAACTGGTTTCTGTATATCTTCTGCTGAGTCTGAAGCCAGCACCTGTAAATAAAGGTGAGACGTTCACACATGTCAAAGACATCTAATATGATAAAAAAACCTTTTACACACACTAACAACAGAAAACAGTAACAATTACAGTACTTTTTAATATACAACTTTTACATTATTTATGTTGGGAGTTTCCTTGCAGCAGCAGCCGGTAGCTACCTCACTGAACACCATGCAGGAGTCCCATGACATCCTATTAGAAGCAATTACAGTAGTTAAATGTCTTTCCCAAAGACACAAACACAGTAGCACAAGGTGATCCATGATTTAAGCCTTCGGATATACACAAATCTACTTACTGAACTATTATGGACCCTTGTTACAATGTAAACAATTCTACAACTGTTAAAAACATCAGACTTTGTGTGAACTCTTTGAAAATGAGGAGTTGAATATGAAACTTTAACTGTTAAAAAGTGTGAAGTGCCAACACTGCAGCAGAGCTGAAGAAGTATTTCACTCAAATATTCAGTTTGGCAGAACATCTTCATTTTTCTAGACTGTACAAACCTGAACTTCCTCCTGCACATGTATGTTAGCCAGAGACTGTGCAGACTGTAATGAATCCTTAGATTGGCTCTGAAAGGACAAAACACAATCAAACTTCAAATTCTCTGTTGATGGATACTATTAAAAATGTTGAATATTTTATAAAATTTTTATACTAAACAACCATGAATCTTAAATATGTACTTGTAACAAGATAAAAACTTTCTTTCTGAAACACTACTTTTTCTTAAATGCACTTTGTGTTTGTATAACTCTACAATATGTCTGTAATTATCTGTCTACAGTAACAAGAACAGACTTGGTTGCCCTAATCCCAGCATGCTACTGGCCAAATATGATCCTGGGACTCTTGGTTATTGAGAAAAAGTTTTATTCCTTGGACTTTTGTGATCTCGGGGGTCATGGTCAATAATTCCAAATTCAAAAAAATTTACAAGATCTTCTATGGTTGACCAAAATTCATTGAACAAGTCCGATGTACACACTGACACAAATTCAAAACAAAATCGTAATTTAACAAAATTTCACAAGAGAAATACGCTCAATTATGACTCTCTGCTCTGTTGGTATGTACCTTTTGTGAAAGACGCTGCTGGTCCCGTGGTTCAAACATGGATTGAGGTCGAGTGCTGGGGCGGGGACTTTCCTGTATACTGTCTGGGCGATCATGATTCCCTGAATCAAACCCTTCGTTTCTTCTGGGGCCACAGTCAAAAGGGTCATCACCTCCTGAACCCCCAGAATCGTACTGACCCTGTACTGTAGACTCAAATCTGTCCTGACCTGCTTTGTCCCGACCATCGTACCCATTAGGTATGACGTGAAGTGACTGTTGAATCTGTTGTGTGTGATCGCGCAGTATAGAAATCTCCCTCGTCAACCTTTGTACCTGTAAAAGGAAAACAGACATTAATTAATTCATCAATACAGGACAACTCTGATAAAATATTTTGGTATGCTGCCTGTATAGTGTATGTAAAGTTTATCTGCTACTGCACATATTCATTCATAGAGAAAACCACACATTTCTAACAAATGTCTTTATTAGAAGAAGACTATCTATGTTCGTGAGGTATTGGTAATCAAAATAATCATTAACAAATGTTAGTCTTTAAACAACAAACATCTATGATTTTGCAAATATATTGTATTGACTCATCTGACTGATATCCATGCCTGTAATAATGATATTGTACATTTCCTTATGGTCTTATCATTCCATTCTGTATGATAAAAATCAAAATCAGAGTCATCGTTTCTCATTCACAAAATGTCATTATCTCTTTTTTCATAAGAGACCTCAATAAGATATAATATGTATGTTTTATTCCATTAACATACAAGGATTGTCAGGTCGTCCCTCTCCCGTCGAAGGTCCTTATTGTTTTGTATGAGTTGTCCTACTTGGGACTCAAGGGATGAGGCCTTCTTCTTCATCTGGAGGAAATCGTCTGTCGACACCGGTCCCTCCACAATTGGCTCTGGAGCGGGCTGTAGAGTCTGTAAATATCAGAGATCAATCTGAGGTAATGTGATCAATTATTTCCTCTATTAGCAACCATGTGACCAGGCTTCCTTCATGAACCAGGTCATTTGAATCATCAGACACGGGGTCATGCAGCACAATTCAATCTTTGTTGTATTAAAAGGAACATGTAGAAGTTAAAGAAATCTTGAAACAGCCGTTATGATTGTTAAAGGTGATTGGTTGTAGGAGAACTCAAACCCTCAGAATTAATCGTTAGACAACCAGGTAAAAGAAAACATTTTAATGATGAAATTAATAATATCAGTCCATTTACACTAAAGACCAGAAATCAAACACACAGTAATATACATATGATATTCCAAGTATCCCAACAATAACTCCATTTGATCAAATTCAATACTGATATCATAAGAAAATAATAAATTACGATTTTTTTCCAAAAATAAGGCGAAATAGTTAGTTGATTTAGTGTGTTAGAGTATTCAATATTGATGCATGCAGGAAAGACGGTTGTGTTTATATCTAATCTGTGTTGATATTCAGGCAGACCATCAACAATAATGCTTTCACTAACATTACCACCACTGGAATTTGTGGGATTTTAGTTGGCATTTCAGGATTTCTGTGAAAAAGCAGAAATATTTAGTAAGAGAAGAATTTACAGGAATTTACAATAAAAAGTATAATTATAATGGCTGAGTACTGTAATATCTTGTTGAGAATATTGCAGAAGGAAGTGGAATATATTTTACATAACTTTAAAAACAGATATAAAAATTTTCCCTATAAGTTTATATATTTATTAGTAATATATACATGCATCTCATACACTTGTGATGTCAGTATCAAATGACCAACATAATAGCACAAATCACTCAGATAAACAAGGGATCCCAGAGGGATCTTGGTGCCCACCATTGTTTGATCTTTATATGCTTTTTGAAAGTTGGATCTTTTCCCTTCATTTCTCTTTACTGTTTTTGCTCTTAATGATAAGACATTTGAACATTTCTTTGCAGAAATAGCAATGATAATCTATACCTGCCAAATCCAAAATGGCCACCTGAAAGCCATTTTGTTTCTTCTGATCAGTCTCAAAATCAAACGAGCACAAGGAGAGACCAAAGTGAGCATACATATGAATTATGAGAGATATCCTTATAGTACTTCTTAAGAAGTCAAAATCCAAGTTGGCCGCTTGTGGGCCATTTCATTTATTCTGATCAATACCAAAATCAAACAGGTACAACTAGGGTTCAAGGAAAGCACACATATAAAATTTGAGAAACATCTATGATGCAGTTCTCAAGAAATATCAATAACAAACTTTCCAAGTCAAAGTCCAAGATGGACGACTTTTGGCCATTTTGTTTTTCTGATCATATCACAACTTAAATGGGCACAACTAGTGACCAACAGGACCCTACATAGGAAATTTAAGAAAGATCCATCACATACTCCTCAAGAAATAGCAATAACAAACTTTTAAAGTCAAAATCCAAGATGGCCACCTATCGGACATTTCATTTTTCTGATCAGGCCCAAAATTAAACGGGTAAACTAGGGGAAAAGGGGAATCTATATATGAAATTGAAGAAAGATCCATCTAATACTTCTAAAGAAATAGTGATAAGCAACTTGCAAAGTCAAAATCCAAGATTGCCATCAATTTGAATAGCTCACTATCTGACGATGATGGACTGAAAATACCACAATGATCAATTTTGGAAGAAAATTTAAATACTAACAAAAGGCTCATGTGCCTTTACAGTCATCTGACTATAAAGACATACATATCAAAGAGGCCAAATGGGCCTGAACAAACTGCTCAACTATTCTACAGCTTACATAAAAGACATTATTAGTTCCTCAAGACATTTACTGCAAACTTGAAATCATATTCTTTATACATGCACTTTACAATTGCCATTACTCCACACATATTGCTTGTTGCAAGCCTTGGCCTTTCGGTTATTGAGAAGAATTGCATTTCAACATATTTGACCCCTGTGACCTTGAAATTTGGTCCAATATCAGCAATCTGGGCCTTTTGGTTACCGAGTAAAAGTCATTTTAACACATTTGACACCTGTGACCTTGAAGGTGGGTCATTGTCATTCATATTAACAAAGTTGGTAGCCCTTCATCCTAGCATGCTTCAGGCCTTTCGGTTATTGAGAAGCAAGTATTGAAATATTTCAATATATTTAACACCTGTGACCATGAATTTAAGAACTGATCCCTAACTCTCCATGATGTTTTTAGACTAAATTTGGTTGAAATCTATTGAAGCTTTGAAAAGGAAAGCGTTTTGAAGCAAAATATTATCTAATTTCCCCTTTTGGAGTGGCACCTCAAGGTTCCTATGGGTTGAATCAAATTTCAAAGAAATAATTGACAACCCTTACTGATGAATCAGGCCAAAGCTTGTTGAAGTCCATCAAGACAGAAAGGAAGAGTTTTGAAGCTAATTTCAGCATCACCCCTTTTGGTCAAATCAAAATTCTGAATATAAGAAATGATCACCTTCACCAAATGATGCATCAGACCAAATTTAGTTAAAATCCATCACTGCATGAAAGAGGAGTAGAGTTTTAAAGAAAAAGTTTACACATGGCACACGACGCATGGCGCCCCCAGACGGTGCATGACGATGGACGAAGCACAATGGCTATAGCTTATCTTGACCCTTCAGATCAGATGACCTTAAAACCAATCATCTTGGCAATAAGTTTTACACAAGTAATTCAATATTGTTTTAATTTGATCATCACTTTAAGTGCCACTATAGATACAAGATACAATTACTGCCTAATGCTTTCAGACATATAACTGTAGGTATGTTGGTGTTTCTCTGTACACACATCAAACTGAAATAAAGCTCCTTTTACGCCTCTGTGTTGAATTAGACAATGGCTATACCTATACTGATGATAAAAAATGACCCATTTTTTTCTTATGTACAGCATCACCTATATCATTTTGAACCAGAACAGTTTCTTCATACATCTATGTAATGAAAAACAATGTATAGAAATGTTTAGCATGTGAGAACATGGACTGGGACCATAACTTATTGAAGATTTATGAAACTTGTCTATCAGACATGGCCAGTCTATTATAGGATGTTATTCATTTCACTAAATTGCACTGAAATTTCAACATGCAGTGTTTTGTACTATGCACCATTGATATAGGAGGATTTCTAGTTATGCATTAAGCCTTAATTTGAACAAAAATATTCTTTTATAATACCTCTCATGCAATATTTTTTCAAAAAACCTGATGTTGTAGTAACGGTTCTATACAAAAGAGACATTAGTTTGACTAACTTCTTTTTAGTATCATGCTATTAATCTGTAAGTAACTGTATATATTAGCTCCAATTCTTGTCAGCAGCTAAGATCATCACTATCGTGAAATCAGGGTCATATAGTCTCAACAGCTTTATTTACAATATGCAAAGTGCTCATTTTTTAACACAACTTTTCAAAATTGTTTACGTATTGAAGATACGCATGATTATCAAAATCTATTGCAGCATGTATACATATAAATGTGTATATATAGATATTCTAACCTATCCTAGTGTATATATTCCATTCAAAATCAGAACCCAACTATCGATATATATATATGCATACAAGGATTCCTTCATTATAGACTGAAATCATATACATTCCACTCAGCACCTCATGAAGTGTTGGGGTCATATGTAAGGCAGAATATTTAAAAACCATCCTTCCTTAGGAGAAAGACTCTTCATCTTCTCCCCTTATTTCAGATATGAGTGAAATTAACTTCTGAATCATTAATATTTTCAATCTTTTACAATATCCGTTAGTTAGATCTACCATAAATGATTTTTGAGATTTGAAATAATAAAAATTCCAAAATGTTGTAAAAGGATGTGTTATATAATGATGACCTTAATAACATTAATCCCTTCTGAAAAATTTCAGTTAAAAAGATCTACTTTCAGTTGCCTAAGCAAAAGTTGTTGGGGAAAAAAAAGGAGGTTGAATGGAATAAATGATTTGAATCCAATACTATGATAATATATGTAATTGCTGTAGGATATAAAATGCCGTAACTATACCACTGCCCAGAAATTCTGTACAAAAATTCTCCAATATTAACAATTATTTTTAAAGTAAAATATTGTTTATCTAGATAATATTACCTTAAAAGCAGATAGAATACAAATATCCAGGTTAAGGAGAGAGATATATTTATCAGTTTCAGAAATACAGTGGATGTTTTCAGTAGATTCATTTTAGAATATCTGTGAAGCGTCAGTATATAGATTCTAGTTTTCCTTTTTCGTAACATATCTATTTGTCAATGTTTATAAACAAAACACCAAGAAATATGGCATGAATACCATCTGCTACAATGACCAACATTTAAGAAATACTTGTTAATACAGAAATAATAGTAACTTCAGTGACAATTCATATCTACCGAAAAATGTATCCCCCCCCCCCCCCCCCCCCCCCCAAAAAAAGGTTTAAAATGATAAAATGTAAACAAAGACTTTTTTTTTAAATTCCTGATTTTAATAACGCTGAGTTCCTGTAAATCACTTTATTCACAGAATGTCCTTTTTTAAAATTCATATCTTAGCTACTTAAGTGAATTATTCAAAACACACTTAAAGAAAGATAAATAAAACAAACCATTGTGAAAAATAAATAAATGAATTGATATGACCATCGTTCCCGAATAAATCTTGTGTAACATTAAATTTTAAGCTTAACTGTTGTAAAATTACTGAACAATCTAACTTTCTCCTCCTTAACATTTTTATCCGACAAAATTGGTGAGCAGTGCCTTGAAGATGTTCCATGCTGAGTATGAAAATACAGACATACACGCCTCACCTCCGCAGTAGCCATGATTGATTTGGGGGTTGAGTCAACTGTACGCATAGACCCCCTTTCCTGTGTCACCAAACAAATGTATGCAGGTATATACAAATGTACATTAATGGAGTCAACAAAATGAGTAAATCATTTTACACAATACTTGTACTGAATTTTGTGTACTTATACATATATACCATGGTGCAAATTAAGAATGAAACACAGACTATTTGCCTAATGAAAATTCAAGATGGCCACCAGTCAGTCATTTTGTTTTTCTGATCCAACTCAAAATTGATTTTGCACAACAGAGGGAAATTGACATATTCAATTTGCATAAGATCTATTGTGCACTTTTTTACAAATATCATACACAAAAAAGGCAGTATAAAGCAAAGTAATTCACCAGTTGGACATTTCCTCGGTAAAAATCTTAAGCCTTGGAGTAATTTATCTGACCAATATTCATTATTATTATTATCAAAGTTAAAAGCTCAGTATACCCCTAGTCTATCATCACTTATGATCTATCAGGGAATTCCAATCTTCTATCCATTGCAACTGTGTATAGAATTCCTCTATCTAGTATAAACAAATGTAACTCACCTCCTCTACCCAATCCTTTCGATCGTCACGCATCCCTGTGCTCTTGATGCTCAGATTGTCAATACTGCTGTAGTCCTCATCTGACGCAACAATGTCATAAATTGGTTCTTCGTCGCTGGCGATACTGTTGATTTTGGGAGGGCGGCGCTGGGACAAAGGACTAGCTCCTCCTTCTGAAAAGACACCAAGAAGAGCATTTAATTTTCTTATTAAGAAATCCTCCTTCCATCTTTTCCAGCTGAGTTAATAAGCTGCAGTGATGTTACACAAACAAAAGAATACTCTGCATAATACAAACACAAAGGCTTCGTGTTCACTTTCCCTAAACATCCTTATCAGAATAACACACTAACATCCCCGTTAGAGACAACAATGGATAGATTAATAACATTACCAGTATAAAATCTTACATTTCAATTCCTAAAACAGATATTTCAACAATTTCTCAAGAACTTAAACCACTGGGAGTTCACTAGCAGAAATAACCTAACAACAAGGATAGACTTATTACTGTGAGTTGATGAGGAGAATGAGGGGGCCATATCATGGAAAGTTAACTGCATGCATCAATTCTTCATGCATTTTAATCTAAATTGATATCTTTTTTTTATCTTTTTCTTCTTTCTGAGCCAGCTGTTGGCTCCACAAACTACCTCTGACCTGTGGATAGAGGTCACAGCCAGACAGATGATGCCAACTCATCGTGGTAACTCAAAACCACACAAGTAGTATCTCTCATGTATTACCTAACCTAAACACAACTGTTGTCAGGTTTTTTTTTTTTGAAGGGATTTAATCAATTGTAAGAAACAGTTCTGCCATTTTAACAGAGTGTTTAAGGTATTTGTGTGTGTGCATCTGTTCTTTTTATCATTATTTTTCTAAAGCATTTATAATCTTCAACTTTTGAAACATGAAAAAAAAATAAACATTTCAACAAACATGTTTTCATGCTCATAAACCAAAGCTGCATTCTAAAATTTCTTTCATATTTATGGAAATGAGATGCAATATACATTATGTAATATGCCTATATGTTTGAGTTACATAATATGTTTAGATAATTAATCTGATTTTCAAAAAACATTTCATCTCAAATATAATCCTTTTTCTTCTCTAATTACTGCATCTTGTATCAATTTTCTCACTACCTCCTGGCTGCCATCCAGGTAGATGATACAAAAGGTGAGTGATCTCCCTTTTTAGATTACAGCAGTTCATATCAGTACATTTCTTCCTGTATTCAATTGCAATTCTTCTCAAATCAGACATGCATGGCTGATAAACATTTCAATACTAATGGACCTAATTTAAACATGTTTTTAATATTAAAACAGTACAGCCTTATCTTAAGCATTATGTATCAAACATACTATATCTGATATACAGTTCTATACCAGTGGAATAATCTCTTCCTGAAACAAGAGGCCCGAAGAGCCTGTATAGCTCATCTGCTCTGTAGCTTATACACAGATTTATCAATTGAAAGAGCTTAGTGATGAATATCTTATTTTTTTTTGTAATTTATCTTAATCTGAAACATTTTATGTCTTCTAAAAATATATGTTGTACGTGAAATAACAAAACTCCTGGCCTTTAAGCTATTGAGAAGTTGTTAAGATAATTATTATGCCCTCTGTGACCTCAAAAGTGGTTTAAAGACATTTCAATTCCTGTAAACTGCTGATTTAGTAATTACAATAGTTAATATATATAATTATCATCACCAATGAAAGATATAGGAGAATTCCTAATTGCATGAAAATTGTCAGCTCTTCACCCGAAGTTTAAATGTTGTGACTCTAGGATACATCAAAGGGTAGAGAGTGTTGTGAGATTTTAATTCTTTTGATTTGCCAAAACATTACTGTCTCATGGCTAATTAGAAGAAGTCCTTTAATAAACAGAACACATGTAACATCTGCAATCTTAATTAACATATCGGAATCATTAGACAAATGATATAAACAAACATGATGACCTTTCACCTCAGTAATCTAAATGTCTTCAAAAACTAAAACTCAGCAAATATTCAAACCAAAGTTCATGGGCAATTTCAGAAATAAAGAAAATAAATCTACAATGAAATTGCTGGAATGAATGGATCTTGATTTTTTCACAAACACAAACATTTTTTTTTTCCAAATCAGACATAAACATTTTTTTTCCCTAATCAGGAGTATTCCAAAATTGATCAACCAGCTCGTAAAATGCTAAAATAACCATACTCAAATCTACATGTGATGCTTTAATATTACTGTATACTTGGTAGTATAATTTATTTCCCTGTATTAGCAATCAATAAATATAAAACAAAAGCAAATTCACAGGGAACATTTCTAATTCTCAAGTGAATGAAAATCTCAGAAAATGTTATGCTTATACACAGGGACATCGGCACTAGTTCATAGACATTTTTTACACAAATAGACAAAATTTTATGAAAATCTCAGAAAATGTTATGCTTATACACATGGACATGGCACTAATTCATAGACATGTTTTACACAAATAGACAAAATTTTATATCTGTGAATTTGCCCAACTCAGAAAAACCATGAAGTATATATCAAGACATGTGAAATTAAAAAACTATACAGTACTCTATATTACTTAAATCTTGTACAAATATCTAAGCCTAGAAAATATTAAAATTATTAAATTTCAAGATTATTCCTTCCTATGCAAGCAAAATAATTGATTTTACTTATAATAAAAATTAAGGAAATAAACAAACTTTAACTTTGAAGAGTACAAACAAATAAATTGTCAGTATTTACCTGAAGTACTCCATGCTCTGAAGAAACAAGCTACCGTCCCTATGTCTCACAGACTTGTAGATTTTAAATTACAACTTTCTAACAAGTAAGTAGTGCAATATGATATCAAAATTATCAACACATGCATTCCAATAAGGGCGATATCATCTCTGAAGGCCGTGATGGTGGTGTAACATTAAGGGTTCTGTTTCCCAGTTCTCTACATATGTATGTGAAGAAGATTACACCATCTATGTTCCTCCACACTCTGATGCTCAGCTTTACTTGGCAGGCAAACAAATTCTTCACAACTATTGATATAAAAGTCATTCGTCTTCCATCAAATTTACACCTGGCTAATGTGTTTACCTTAGATCGGAGTTTACAGACAAAACATATCTACCTGATAAAACAGCAAAACAAATTGAAATTTTTATGATTATAAGTGTATATTGCACTTTCATGATTTCAGATGATGAAGTCTGCATTGTAATGCCAAACTGAAAATCATTTATCGTTTTCATCAGTTTTTTTAAATGCATAAGAGACTTTCACAATTATTCCTCTTTTGCAAAACTAGAATATGATATCGTTTTATACTCTTTCATATACAATGAATTATTTACAATTTTCTTAAAGTCATGATCTCTGTGAAATTTTATGTTAACAAAGTGAAAAATCTCAAAATACTTCCTCCAGAACAGAAATGTTCAGCCATCTAAGATTACAGGTAAAGTGCATTTACCTGCTTCAAGAAAAAGATGTTACGATAATGCCTTCTTTTCTGTAATCTTATCAAAAACTTACAATCTTATTAAGTTAAAAATATTATAATATTGGGTTTTTATTAAGAGCTTTTAGGGCTGATAATTGGTGCCATTCTCAGTTGGAATAATTTTATATTAAAGCCAAAATACCTACATTTGAAATTTACTTCTACATTTTTCCTCACAATTCATCTATTTCTTCCTAAAATGTTGCAAAAGAAACTGCAAACAAATCCCAAACCATTGAAAACAATCCTGCAATTGCAAATAATGTGAGCTGCAACATCTTTGTAGAAATACCAGAGGATGACCAATCTGATCTGCATCTTAAACTACTTCATACTGTAACACAAAATGTTACTATCTGTAATACTGTCACACAAAACATTACCATCTGTAATACTGTAACACGAAATGTTACAATCTGTAATACTGTCACACAAAACATTACCATCTGTAATACTGTAACACGAAATGTTACAATCTGTAATACTTTCACACAAAACATTACCATCTGTAATATTTCCAAACAAAATGTTATAATCTGTTGGTCAAGCTGCAAAACTCCCAACGACTGGATACAACCACAAGACTGAGAATTGAGTTGTTTGATGTAAAGATTGAATACAAATTTCTGTGATAACAGAGGCGGTAATATTGATAATCAGCCTACTCACAGCATCATCCCCTGTCATATCTCTGATACACACACCACAGGCCTATCCCAGACCAATTACTGCTGTATGTTGCATAATGCATGGAACGGCCAATAAAATTTTTCGGCAAATCTTATTTGATTATTTTGATATGACAGGAGAGAAGGATTCTCTGTAACAAAGCCTAAATAATGGAGGTTTAGGTCTTATGTACAGTTCACTACTAGGCTACACAGCTCTATCAAGAATTTAAAGTTACTAAACAAATAGAGATGTTAAAATGAACACACATCTCTGTGGTAACAGACAGCCTACTCAAAGGCCCATCCCCTGTCATACCTGTGATTCAGATTTACTTTTTAAAATTTTACATATACCACTCTTCTTAATTAGGAGTAGGTGTAAAAATATAGAAAATACAGGACTGTAAACATATACAGTGTGTATAGGCAATAAGCCGACCCCCTACTCTTGACTCAATTTCATTTTTATTGGCGGAGAAATACGGTATAACATGTATATGTATATTATTCACAAAGGTAATTTCCTTTAAATTACTGGCAATCAAATATTTAGACAAATCCTCCTCTCACTCAAGTAACATTCTTGGTTTAAGGTATAAGACTTCTGTGCATGATACTGACCTTTTACGAAACCAGGAGTGCCAGACTAGCATAGGTAAGAGACTTTGGGGTTTGCCTATGTTTAAACATTTTACTGAATTAAGTTTTTTTCCCCTAGGAGAGTAGGGGGTGGGGCATGGAGTTGGGTTCAGAAAGAAATGTATAATGCAATGTTTTGATGACAAAGAAATAATGACTTTTAAAGACATCTGTTATAGAATACAGGAATAATTTCATATTTCATGGATAGACAAACTTATGTTTGTGTTTATAAAACATTTGAGGTGGAACCACTCCTTTAGGTACATAAATTAACATTTTGTGCATAAATGTCATCTGAACATTTTAAATTATTTCCTAATCAAAAGTCCACCCCCATTGCCGTCCAAAAATCAGTCTCCTTCTGAAAAATACTGGAAAGTCTAAAAACGTATACAGGAGGTGTGAAATATTAAGATATTGTGGAAGGTAAGGGAAACAAACACACCTAGTCACCCTACAGTCAGATATAGCCAACCAACATCTGTTTGATTCTTGTAATAGGCATT